GTTCAGAGCAGTCTCCTCGAAGTCCTCCATGAAGATGTCGGCTACGACGGGGGAGACTGGCGAACCCATGGCCACTCCATCCACTTGCCTGTAGAATTCACCATTCCACAGTAGATAGCCGGATGTTAGGCAGTGTTTTAAAAGTTCAATGTATTCTATTGACATGTTGTGATCTAGTAGCTTCCTAGATATTATTTCAATACAGTCTTCCACTGGTAGGCTGGTAAATAAAGACTGTACATCGAAACTAACCATTGTTTCATTGTCCATGAGTTTTAGGTGTTTAACTTCATTGACAAAATGGTAAGAGTCCTTTGTGAACGCTCTTGTTAATCCTCTGAGTGGTGAGAGTACTTTTGCTACTAGTTTAGCCAATTTGTAAGTCGGTGAGTCGATTTGACTCACAATTGGGCGTAGCGGAGCGTTAGTCTTGTGTATTTTCGGAAGTCCATACAACTTAGGTGGTTTTGCACATGATGGAATAAGATTTTTAACATCAAGATTTAATGTGTCGGAGTGTTCCTTAATTAGCTTTTTAGTATTATTTAAAACGGTGGTAGTTGGATCCGTTTTAACCTTTTTGTACGTGCTCTCGTCCGACAAAAGTTGTTTTATTTTATCATTATAATCTGATGTATCCATCACAACGGTTGCATTTCCTTTGTCTGCGCGTAGAACGGTGATGTCTGACCTATTGCGTAGGTTCTTCAACGCTAAATACTCTTGTTTATTGAGATTTGGTTTGGGCCTAGTGCTACGACGTAATAAAGACGAAACATCTTGACGTATGGCCTCCATATCCTCAGTTTTCATAATATTTTGGGCCAGGGCATCTTCAACTGCGCAAATAATGTTTTCATAAGGAATGCGCGTAGGCGTTACAGCAAAATTCAAACCTTTATTTAGTACCCGAATGGTTTCGTCTAACGTTTGTTTTGACAGATTGAGAACAGCTTGAGGTCCGCACGAGTGTGTATCTGTGGTAGACGGGCGCGTTCCGTTATACTCTATGGTTTTCTTTTTCTTTTTGATGTTTAATTTTTCAACGAGTTTTTGATATTTTAAAATATGTTTAATTTTGCACTGATTATATTTGGTTGTTTCACGCTTATTTAAAGTGTCAATGCAATCGTTGAAATCAGATGGTGTCAATACTGTCTTAACAATATTAGACGTCTGTTCAATGTCCCGGTCGTTTCTGCGTAGATCGCGGCGATTTTGTCGAATCACTGTCCGTAACAACTTAAAACTTGCCTGGTTTACGATCTTAGCGCTTCCTCGTATGTTCTTTTTGGAAGATATTTTCACACACGTAGGAATGAGACGATGATCACGACATCTCTTCAAGAAAGTTAACGATGTTAATAATCTTGCGCGCTTTGTCTTTAGATCTTCTAACCGGCGTATCTTATTTGCGGTTTCCAGTCCGTACTGGTTCACATAATACTTTCTTAGATTTACGCGAATGTTTGACATTATTAAATAAAACTATCTTTTCGGATTATTTCGCGGATTTATTTTGATTTTTGGTTCCCGACGTTTCGAATGCTTTACAGCATCCATGGTCACGGGAGAGACTGAGGTGTTACATGTCTTAAAGATATAGTTGTTACAGACAGCCTACCCACAATTAACAACGTTAGAAACGTCGGGAACCAAAAATCAAAATAAATCCGCGAAATAATCCGAAAAGATAGTTTTATTTAATAATGTCAAACATTCGCGTAAATCTAAGAAAGTATTATCGCTAATGTTTAATTAATATACCTACAATATTTTTTCACCTATTGAGTAAATTGAGCAAATATACCTTTACCTACCTACTCTTTAATATTTGTTATTGCGTGCTCTATATTGACCTGCCATCTGACACAATTCAATTGTTAGGTAGTTTATGGAGGTTATTTCATTGTCAGTTATCACACCATTATAAAACGTAGCATTACAACTAATGAGGCAATTTAAGTGTGAATATTTATCTAAATTACTTATGGTAAAGTACAAAATGATTTACAATAAGTTACGTTCAAGGCATTTACAATGTATTGTCAAGATACATATATTTCTCGATGTATTAGTAAATCGCCATACATTAAAGGATGTTGAACCACTGGCAATAATTATTGTCTTGCAAATATGTAACTATGTTGGTTAGTAAGTTGAGTTTTACTCTTGTATATTTATAAAGCTATTCAATAGAGTCCTCCCGGCGAAATCTTTTGTGAATTTAACACTTCTATATTTGTTATTCACTTATAGTCAATCTGTTTTATAGCAAAATAAACATTCTTACAAAAGAAATAGATTTTCCACTTAAAACATAAAAATACCTTGTGCCATAACTACCCGGCGCACGTACGAATATGTGCATGAACATCAGTCGTAGCACGATTTTGCAACCGCCGGTCGTAGCCATCAGGTGTGGACTGCACTCGCTGTTGCATAAACACTTACGAAACGCGGATCTCGGTCACTGCCGCTTTTGAGCTAAGGGCACCTGCCGCACCCTTACTTTATCAATCATTGAATCATTAAAATATTTGCCAAATGACAAGAAAAAATATTTCCTGAATACTAGCGTAAAATGATAATTTGCGTTATAAAATGTTTTACATTTTTATCATTATTGAATCGATAAAAAAACTAAATGTGATGAAATCTTGAAACTTGATAAACTTAATTTTCTTACATGTATGTAAATATCATCCATTTTGATCTGATTATGGAACCAAGAGGTAGTAGATGGTTGTGGAAATCTTAGTTCTCATTTGATTCGATTCGATGAGTGTCATACATAACATGGGTAGTGTAGCCCAGTGGTAACGCGCTCGCTTGGGAAACCGAGCGAAGCGGGTTCAAATCTCGGGTCTCGCACCTCTGATATTTTTATGTGCGAATCATTTCCAACATGATTACCACTTGTCTTACGGTAAAGGAAAACGTCGTAAGGAAACCTGCATGTCTCAGAGAACCTCACAAGTTTTCGAAAGACGTGCAGTCCGCTAACCCGCACTTCGCCAGCGCGGTGGACTATGGCCTGATCCCCCTCGTATTGAATACTACTATAATAAATATACTTAAATAGTAAGTTCTAACGAAGTAATCAAATCTTGGAAGTAACTTTTAACTTACTCCTAAACGTCGTATCGAAATGGAACTTTGTATGTATATATGTAGCTCGGATGACAATACTAAAGTTTGTATCTTGGAGCTGATCTGATGATGGGGTGGAGTCAGGAGGTGGATAGTAGAATTCTTCAGTGCCTACTAATAATTAGTAAACCCTTCGAGTTTGGGCTCATATAATTTATTATTGTTGATACCAAACATTATTCAATTCGTCAAAAGCGTGTTTTTTTGGTCTTTTAAAATTATCATTTTTATAATGAAGAACTATAATCATTAATAATATTTTTATCTAGTTTAAAACATGCCATTTCTAATAGCTTACTAAAGATAAAATATATTTCGTTTTGTTTCATTATTTTACTATTTGTTTAAATAGGTACATACATGCATATTTCCAACATGATTACCACTTGTCTTAACGGTGAAGGAAAACATCGTGAGGAAACCTGCATGTCTGAGAGAACCTAGCAAGTTTTCAAAAGACATGTGAAGTCCGCCAACCCGCACTTGGCCAGCGTGGTGGACTATGGCCTGATTCCCCTCGTGCTGAAGGGAGGCCCGTGCCTAGCAGTGGGACGTTAAAAAGTGCTGAATACATAGGTACATAGGTATATATGTACATATTATGTACTCGTTTAGTGTGTATAATGATCCCAACAAAGTGACTGTAAAATGAGCCATTTAAGATATTTATAAAAAGTATATTAAATTTCGCCATTTATGGTCATGTCGAGAGATTGTGATATTTTAAATAGGTACGTATGATTGATCACATCGCTTTACTGGTGATGAATTATGTTTAACCGACACAAAAAAATTTCAGCATATTTATTATTATCAATATTTATGTATAGATACTTAACTATTCAATCCAATGACGTTTGTTATATGCAATATTAGTAGTTTCATAATACTGTTGTGTAGTCAATGAATAGATTATTACGTAGAGGCACATAAGTTACTGATACCATTATCTAATTGATTTATTACCAATGCAGATGGTTGGGTTGTTACGTGCTTTTGTAATACTTTTACATGATCGCTAACAATACTAGTAACTATAATAGATGATGATGTACGTATAGAACAATCATAGTTATTTATATAGCCACGTTACTGAGCAAGAATTTTAATATTTACATTAAACACTAGCTTGTTTACGGCTTTGCCATTGTCTTTGGCAGTGCAAGAGCTTTACCGGAAAAAGTTGTAAATAAGTTAATTTTTAACCATGCAACAACCATGCAATAGTTTTTGTGTAATAAATCCATGAATTTTTGGTATGAACGACTACTCGGCCGAACCTGTGATTATGTTTTCCTGTGGGAATAAGAGGTTTTCCTGTAATAAAAGGTATCCTAATTGTTGATCCGAATTATTAATTGTACCTGCACCAAATTCAGTTATGATCCGGTATGAAAAATCACCCAAATCGATTTAGCCCTTCTCTCTTTTTGCGTTTAGCAACGAACAACATTATATTTTTATTATTTTTTTATTAGATTTTAAATAAGTTTTCGTGTCATACATTTCATATTATATCTATCTAAACCTTACTACTCACCTTAGTACTCTACTTATACTATACTATTACTACGACAGCTACTACATCATTGAAAGAATCCTGCTGTACAGTTCCTTTTGGCCTAATCCACTTGTGGCAGTTAGTTCCTTTTCGTTCACTATTCTAGGGACTCGCTGGGAAAGTTATCTTACATATATAAATATTTGTTTGTTTAGGGATGAGTTCTCTACCAATAATGATCAATCGTTATTGTATTATTTATATAATTTTTTAAAAAAATATTCCTATCACCAAGAAGATAAAGATCCAATGTATGAGATATTGAACCAAAAATCTTTTTTTCCAGCGCATGACAACATGTGGTCCAGCGTGTGGATCCGCGGGTCCGGGACCAATGACTGGTGTGGGTCGACGACTCGCGTCAAGTCTACAGAGCACAAGTACTGGCTCGCTTCCAGATTATGGTACACAAATTGTCGACCCCTACCGCTTATTAGAAGATGACCTAAACGGCATATACGAAGATATTAGATCAGTAAGTATCAATCCAAAACTTTGATGGACAATAAATTTGAATGATCTAATGTAAATAACGCGATTGCTACGAGTTTCTACGTTCTGTAGCACGTGCTGTCATAACGCTTGATTTTATTATAGTTATCTGTTATCAACTACTTTTTATATTATACAATAGTAATTGTAAGCATAATTTCCTTAAAAGAATAAGTTTTTAAACGACAAATGGCAAATTCCAAAAAAATTGCTTTGGTTTTTACTTGTTATCAAATATCTCAAATATAAATATCCAAGAAAAATAGTATGTAAACTCTGCCCATATTGTATATGTACATGCAGTTTTATACCAATGTGTCACGTAATAATATCCACTACTTGAACTCTGTGTTTTTATCGAATGTCTCTAACGTCAATCTTTGATGACTATTGAACTGCAAGTGTGTCAAAGTCATGACGTGTCAGCACGCGAGCTTTCCAGGATTAAGCAACGTATCACTGTTATTTTATCCATATATCGCCAATTGTAGCGAATTTTTTTTATAAATAAATTATTTTCTAATGGCAGAATATCAAGGCTCATCGTCCATTGTAAATGTTTTATTAAGAGAGACAGCAAAATAAATCTACTCACTATGTTCTCCATTTTCCACCCCTATATTATTATTATTATTATTACGCGTTATTTACAATATAAATCCATAAGTTACTTTATTACTAAAATATTGACTTAAATACTTTTTATATATAAAAAAACGACTTTTATTTCATTAAAAAAGATAAATGTTTTTTTTTTTAAATACAGAATTAAATAAAAGTAAACAGAGTTGTGACAGCAATTTTATCTTGGTATATCTACTCAATCCTTGCCACACTAAGAGTAGTAGAATCTTGTTTGCCTACTTTCTTTGGTGGATACCCATCTAGAACGAGGCCTCGTAAATGCTGTACCACCAGTTACAGACATACCAGCATTTACTAGTCCTATGTATTCTGAATGCTTGTTTCCTAGATGTCGTATTTACAGTAACATCTTTACCGCTTACTGTTTTGCAAGAGATGATTTTAGTTATGCTATATATTATATATACTTACAGATTATAAAAAAAAATCTATATTCCTTTACCAAAAAACTCTTCGCACATTGAAGTAACCTTTAAACATAACCTTCTTGTAATATTCAAGACAATATTATATGGGCTACGTCTAATAGACACGCGTATTTTATTACGTTTAATTTACTAAATAAATAATGTTGCAATATGACATTGGACCGTTCCTTTCAGATCCGCGTAAACACTTCTGCCCACATAATATGAAGCTATGATTATATTAATGACTAGCATTGCTTTGTTATATTTTTATTTTTGACATAGTAAATTTAAAGTTTTAAGTGAGATATGTACTAGAACCAATTTCCTAAATCAAAAAGGTGAGATAACCGTTTTGTAGTATAAGTGTACAGTAGTTTTGTAATATAAATATATGTGTGACTAAAACGGTGTGGTTGCAAAAAATCCGTTTCGGATGTTGATTTAGCTTAGTCCTTGACTCCAATGTTCTTTGACAGTAGAATTAAATACGTAGAAGATAAAAGATGCATTATAACAGAATCAAGTACTCGAATGCCTTGAACTGAGTTCAGTAGTACCTATGTAGTTAAGCAATTAGTCAATAACTTACATCGTTAAAATGTACAAATAGTTCATTTAATCTCAACTAAATTGGTTATTGTTATTTAACCGTAGAAGTGCTTATTGTTTTTTTCTTTCTATTATATTGTATATTAAAATATAATAAGTATATGTAATTGATTAAAAATGTAAAGATAGACTTTGTGCTCCTATACCCTCACATTTTAAAATCCCTTGCTTAATATGGGAGTATCTGGAAATAAACATGCGTGAATAGCCTTGTGACCTATGATACTATTATATACATATAATAATGTTAGATTAGATAAAATAACCATTTCTAACTATTTATGAGTAACAAGCAACTCACCCTCGCTTCGTTCGAGTTCGTTTCTGGGTTGATTCCCCATAAATGTCATCCCCATTTCCCCATCCTTAAGAGATGATTTCCGGGATAAAAACTATCCCATTTCCTTCCCAGGGTCTCAAACTGTCTTACCAAATTTTATGTAAATCGGTCCAGTAGCTTCGGAGCTTATTCGGTACAAACAAACATACAAAAAAAATACTTTCCTCGTTATAATATTAGTATAGATACACCTACACAAGTTATTGGCATCTAATTTTACTGAGTTGAATTACGAAATGATACTATGTAATTACGTATAATATATCATGAACTTATTTCTTTAAGCTAGGGTTTACTTTTTGTACAAAACGGGGTTACCCTCGTACAATAAATAATATCAATTATTTTAGATACTAAATGTTACTTACATATTTAAGGATTTCGTCGTAAACAAAACTGTCAAAAAAATGTTGTATGAAATTTTGTGCAGTGGCGTCCATTATAATTTTTTTATTAATTATTAATTGTTTTTGGTTAAATCGTAGAGAAGAATATTACTTGGATTAAAAATGTTATCTTAGAATCAATGGATGTTGCGATAGACTGCCGATGGAAAGTGCGGCGTGTGAAACCACGCGAAACTTAAGCATTTGACCTTCGACATTCTTACGGGGTTGAACACTACAAAGAAAACTTATGAGATATCCATTAGACTTTCTTAATAATGAACTCGCTAATTAATCTTAGATTTATTTTACATTATTACATGCCAATTACGCTACGTGTACATATTGTCGTATTGCAACATAAGATAGTATTTAAATTAAAATTAATACGTTATTTATACAGATTATATTTATAACCTAGCAAGGAGTACAGTACTTCACCCAACTGTATGAAATTGAATTGTACAAGCCTTTACTGTAAAAAATTACTATGTTCTATGTTCAATTTCCTTATATATGAATAAAGTTATTATTATTATTTGCGTCTAGAGAATATAATTGTTAATTGTTGTCTATATGTCAACAACAAAATTAATAATTCATAAATCTAGATTATACATATATGTAGATAAACACATATAGATAGACAGAAAAGACTTAAAACTTGGCTTCTGTTTATCCCAAACATCCCCCAAGCGCTGTTTTTTCCCAAAACATTTATGAACAAGCAAGGCCCTGTTTTCAACTACAATTAAGTTATTACAATATCATTATAATATTATTTAGAGATTATTTCAATCAAGGCCTACCACATTACAGTTACAATTTACTTAAATATACTAATTTTGCGGTTTATTTAAAAAAAAAACAATAGGTTTTATATATACATACTCGTATATGTTAATTTACTGCTGTCATAATTTTACTTCTGCAGTGTAGCTAGTAGGTGAGTCGATGATCTTCATTGAGGAATAAATATTTTCCCGTGAAAATAACGCTCTCAATGCTATTTATTTTTATAGCACTTAGTTGAAGTAAAGCTCAATCTACTAGAAAAGTGCAAAATAAATAAAAAAATTTTTTTTATTGTATGACATTTCCTTAAAAAAATGAATAGATTAGTTTATTAGAACCTTCAACTTTTTGTCCCTTGTCACTTTAAATAATTAAGTTAGAAAAGCATTTCTACTTGATCTTGCGTTAAGTCATGGGCGAAAGTGAATATGTAAAAGTAGTAAAATATACACGTATGTAAACAATAACGTTACGACTACAAGTCCGGCTTTCTTTTACAGTTGTAGTGTTATACAACAAATAACAGTAGTGTTGTAAATTCTCAACTTAATATCGAAATTCCTGAAAGATTCTTTCATGCTTACAATAGGAAGTTTGTTATAAGCGTAATACTATGTGATTTTAAGTAATCGTTTTTCTTGATTTACCGCCACTAACAGATTTATTTTCTAATACTTATTCGAAGCTACGGAGTATCCATGAGAAGTGAAAGCGAAAAATTAACTTAACATGTGATTTAATTGCGTTCAAAATATTTTTATGACATCTACTTAGATGACTCTTAGTAACATTTAACGTTTAGTATGGATTTCTTAGAGATGTTAGTAAGAAGTATCATATATGTTGACCCAGATAACCAGCTATCATTATAGCAAATTTCATCAAAATCTGTCCAGTGGTTTTCTCGTGATGCGTTCCCAGATAGACAGTCGGATAAACAAAAATTCTAGAATTATAGATTCGGTCTCTGTATCGATAATAATGACTATTTCAATAAGATTTTCCAAAAAATATTTTATGTACAGATTCGGCTCAGTTATAATTTTATTATAGATTACAGGTGCTCTATATTTTGATATACTTAAACTACTGCGAAATATAGTGTCTGATTTCCTTGCATCAGATAAACATTAGGATGAAACACATTATACGACGATCATTATTACATTGTTCCTCTCTTACTCAAGATTTAATGGCGTTTGCGTAGACATTAAAAGTTAAAAAAGGAACTTAGTGGCATGCATGTCTTTAAATTAATATAATATGAAGTATATTCGACGACACGTTTGCCTCAGTTTGTAGTGATCCTGCTTGCTGTGCCAGCGGTCGCGGGTTCGAGTCCCGCTGGGGCCATTCATTTTTATGATGAGCACGAATGTTTGTACTTCAGTCATGGGTGTTTATATTTTTAATATGTATGTATTTAAAGTTATATATGTGTAGTGTATCAACTATCTGGTATCCATAACACAAGCCTCGTAGCTTACAATGGAACTAGATGGCGCTGTGTGTTAATGTCCCCTCAAATTTATTTATATTTATTTATTTATATTTGTAACACTAATAAAATATTTATAGTAATATTAATGACTGATGTTATTGAGATCCTAACTCGACTTTAGCATTATTATTGACAGGAATTGGAACGCAACACAAACCAGCCCGAACTGAATACCATAGCTACATACTACTTCGACGGACAGGGGAAGGCGCTCAGGCCAATGGTGGCAATACTTATGGCGAGAGCTGTTAACTACCACGTGTACGGAGAAAATAGGTGAGATTAAATGTTATACCTATTATTATTTGACAATATTTAGTTTTTCATGTTTAGTTGATTTTTGAGGTTTATAAAATTAAAACTTATTTACGTAATATTTTGTTGTTTTAATTTAAACATTATTGCACTATTTTAGTTTGGCCTTTTCAAAACTAAAGGCTTGGCGTGCCATTCACTCTTAATGTTCTTGCTAAATTATAGAGTTGAAGTTTTCAATTTGCTCTCATATTGAGGTCAAGAGTTCAATGTCTTTATCGGAGACCTTGAATGTGAAATAGCCTATAATATGTTTTTTGTGACGTGACATACCGCCTTAAGCTTCGTTTTTTGGAATAAAAATAATTATTAAACTACAATAAATTGTCAGATCAAGTCAATATCTACCTTAATTACCATACTCATGGTGAATATTCAAAATTATTGTGTCCAAGTTCTAGTAGTATTTTCCACATAGTAGTGCAATGATTGTTACAGAACATTTTATATTTAGTGGAGATTTTACTAACTTATAATGAAATAAAAGGGCCTTAATAAATAATAATGTATGTCACTCATCCGATTGCAATAACAGCTTGGGGAATTGTTGTATGCTAGCGTGCTAAGGTTTCTGAATTTCGGAATCGACGAATGATAGGTTACGTGCTATTTGCATCGTATCATTTGAGATTTATTAGTTTGTATACGACAGGTATAATATAAACGTATAAGCATTAGTAATTTTTATACACCATGTGTATGTATTACACATGTGATGGTGTGTGGTGGTGGGCGGTGTGCCATGCGGGTTACCTGGTACTTCTCCGATAGCAGAGTGGAACAACCCCATGGTTGTTGTCGTCTGCTTCGGCAGACCTGCCGTCGGGGCGTTGTGGTTGAGTGCGTAAGTGATCCTGCGACGCCCCACTAAGACGGGGGAAGTACTGTTAGGTTTTAGCACTGGCTTCTCGAGCCGGTGAGTCCCACATAACCACCTGTTTGTATGCAGGTGGTTTGCGTAAATCCATTTCCCAACATGAAAAAAAAGTTGGGTAGAACAAATTATTTAATATTCTCAGTTAATGTCAAATTTTAATATAAATATTATGTGAACCGGAAAAAAGATATAAATTTTAGCATGTAAATGTTTATTTTTTACAGTCATTGTCTAAATTGTTTTTGAAGGACTGTTGTAGTACATGCACAAATGTTTATCTTAGTTATGGTAATACCATATATAGGTTTTATTACATTTGCTTGACTATTTTTTTTTAGAAATATGAACTAAGTGGTTATATCCGACATGCGTCTCTGGCCTTACATACTTATGTACATACATATAGTTGGTAAATGTTATCATAAAATAAACTACCATAGAGGAGTGCGTTAGGTTTATAAGTCGCAGTGTCGCTTGCCGGTCTTTGTCTTCTCTCAAAATTATACAATGTATATAGAAGATGATAAACAATTTTTATTACCGTGTTGATGCTATAATTAAACGTCAACGATTTTAAATGGTAATCATTCACGCGCCTCATTTAAATACGTCCTTCTTGTTGTCATTTATTAGCTAGTAGTATAAATTACTCTGGAATTTCTTAAACATAAGATCTAAGATATTCAGTACGGGAATAATAAATCTTCTAATTGTGCAGTGTGTTCACGTCTTGCCTATGATTCGCCGCGGACTGTACTATACACTTTAAGAATATTTAAAGAACGCGATAAGTCCGATGCGTGCACACAAGTTGCGTGTAGAATTATTTATAATCGTATAAATAATAACACCATTGTATTCCATAATACATTAGGGAGGCAGTCATCTCCGTGTAACACTTATACACATCATTATCAGTACAAACATTTACATACTTCTGATTGAATCAATGGACAAGTGTACGAGATGATGAATCATTTTTATAATTACGGCGGTAACGTATGTATGTATATTGTACAATATATCTGAAAAAAATATTTTCGACTTAAGTATTATTTTTTTTATTAGAGAGGTACGTGATTAAAAACACATGTACGAGTATACTACTTACATATGTACATTTATAGTGTAGAGTAATTCTTTAACATAATTTCATTTCATTTATCAATCTCAATGTTTATTATGTAATGTTTTCAATAGTCAAACAATACATTGCCTCGTTAGAATATAATATTTTATAATTTACACACTATTAGCGAGTATCAACATCTCACACGTATGAATGTATGGCACAAGAACATTACCAGCGTAATAGTTATAACAATAATATGTAGGTAACTGTGAAAAAAACATATTTAGACATGTAAATAAACATTAAAGATTTAAGTTTATTTATAATAATTTATATATATGTTTGTATGTACTTATAATTTACAGTTAAACGGTCAAATAACATCGGTCGAAAAATATATTTTTATAGTGATATAGGTGTAATAGAAAACGGCAAATTACTCAAATGTTACAAAAAAAGCCAGCTTAATATGTAACCAATTTTATAATTTTATAATCAATTTTTTGACTGCTCTTTTTTTTTCTTGAAATAACATAATGACTTTCATCGCTTTTGGTCAACACCGAGACTGTTGATTTCATAGTTTTTCATTGTTTCTTAAATTCTATAGAATATTTTACCAATTAATTTTAATTTAGAACTTGAAACAAATATTTTTTATTCACAGCGCACTCCTGCCCTCCCAACGGCAGGTTGCCATGATCAGTGAGATGATCCATTCGGCCTCGCTAATCCACGATGACGTCATCGACCAGAGTGAGTTCCGCCGCGGAAAACCCTCAGTCAACGTGCTCTGGAACCATAAGAAGGTAAGATAAATATTTATCATATATGTTGCACAATTAATTTACATCAATGTAATGATATTATGTCTCATTCGTGATTGTTATTTCAATATTATTGTTTAAATTACCATTTAATATTTTTATTCTAATCACACTAACATACGAAAACCCGTAGGGGAAGTCCTAACAGAGTTATGCGAACATGATGGACGAAACTTTTAATCTTTTACGTGATAAAACTCTAACGATTATTGACTGAATAACAGACGACGCATAGCCTAAACATGCTAGCTGGGTCTAGGAAAATGAAGATTTCAATAAGTGCTTCTTATAAACATCTGAAGAAGACTAATGAATGATTTTTGAAAATGTATGTTAAGTTTGTAAAGAGGTTAAATAGGAGATAATAGTTTTTAAGGAAATTCGTCAATTTTGATGGAAATTTATGTTTATTTTCTATGGCGTTTAGAGCTTGTAGCAAAAAACTGTATCTTTTGTTTAAATAACTATACATAATAAATACGGATACACGATAATAACTTGATCATTCAATGTATACATGATATTGATACAATGAAAATCTATACGGTAGGCGCTAAATTAATTTGAATATTCATTTGTTCTCAACTACAAATGATGGGACAAGATACGTTCCAAATATGTACGTACATCATGATGTCGTGACGTGAGTTTCAAACTAATAATATTGAATTTAAAATAATATATCGGTCGAGGCTTCACTAGCATAAGTACGTTAATTATAAGTAGCCTATGTCTTAATCCAGTGTGTAAGCTGAATAAAAAGGTTCACTGACTTCAAAATTACTTTATAAGATATCTACGAACACAAAGAAAAACACACTTAAATTACTTATCTCTTCTACAGTTCTTTTTAAGTCGATCAGAAACTTTTACATAGCAGTCTAAAGCCCGATTTCACCGACAATCCATAAGCTACCACCTACGTATGGGATCCCTAGCTTAAAAGTCCCCTAAACTAGCCCCTAAATTAAATTTCGTTTTGCGATCGTCTTTAAGCCCATATTTCGAGCACCTAAATTTAGGGGGCCTTTTAATATTTAGGTGACCCCTAACTGTCGATGAAACAGAAACAGTCCCCTAACAGCCCCCTAACCATGCTTAGGGGATCCCTTAAACTTAGACGACGTTGGTGAAATCGGCCATAACCCTTGCGACCATTTTCCACTTACGTTGTATGGTTATGAATGGACAAATTTCATAGGCTAAAGATCAGTTGGTATTTTGAATTGTATGTATGACAAATGTCTAATGTGTATTAGGATTTACCCGAAATATGTACCTACTCTTTATGTATGAACGTGATGTCGACTCTATTAAGAATCGAAGAGGATTATATATGACGTCGTGTCGTTGAGGTAATGATATGTATGGCAGGTAGGTTAGACGGTTGCTAAGGAGTCGTATGCACATATTTATTTAACAAGCCGTAAAGTTATGTTATAAAACCTATGAATATTTTTATATTAATAAATATTTTATGTAAAAGTAGTTTTAGTGTCTTTCATTATCTTGGATCTTATTATGTGTTTATTAAAGATATAATATGTTTAATTGTTATATGAATTCAATGCAATGTAATTATATCGCATTGGTATTACAATGGAAACACTATGTCATAATATTATATGTATTCTATATATATATACTCGTAATAAAATTGTAACTAAGCCGAATTTGTAGATAAAATACTTTTTTGAAAAATCTTATTGAAATAGACATTATTATCGGTACAGAGGCCGTATCTATAGTTTTTAGAATTTTTGTCTGTCTGTGACCGCATCACGGAAAAACCTCTGGAGGCATTTTAATGAAAGGTATAAATGATAGCTGGTTATCCCGGTTAACATATAGGATACATTTTACTGCGGGAAAATATCTCATCTCTGAGAAATTTATACTGAACTTTAACAAGTACTATAAAATAAAATAAACTACTAAAAACTATAATCAAAGACGATAATCAAAATTAATCAATATATATATATATATATATATATATATATATATATATATATATATATATATATATATATATATATAAGAGTTAAGGGCAGTTAAAAGGTTAGTGAAATGAGCAAGTGGACTAGAATATAAGATTATTTTTATTTCCTCAAATCCACTCCTATATGTTTTACAAGAATGTACGTATATCTGTTTTATGATAGATATAGAAATGAAAAAAATAATAATGACTATTCAATATTTTTAGGTGTATTGATTTAAATAAAATGAGGAAAGGAGTCCTCCGTTATGAAATTAAATATATACTCGTACATATATCATTCACTTGAACATCGATACGTCATCTTTACATATTTTCTCAGATAAATTTGAACCTGACTTGTGAACGAAGTCGTGCCATTTTTTTAATTTAAGCATAAAACAAACATAATTTTAATGTTTTTTTTTAAATCATCATTAGAATACTACGATTTCAAATCCACATTACTTGCGTATTTATTGAGTAAATATTAACTGTGAACCATGTTCAATTTAGTTTACATTGAGTATAGAAAGCTGATAGTTGCGTTAAGTTTGTGCGTGATTAAAATATTTGATGAGAATCTATTTATTTCCACTACTTAATATAGATATGTATGTTAATACGATGTCAGTCTAATATTTTAAATATAAAACATTAGATGAACTACATTCCTATTAAAATGAAAAAGGAGAACATCTTCGATCATTAAGTCACGTTCAGGTTCTTGGCCTACTTAAAAAAAGAATAAGTACAATTTGTGGGAAGTAGTCCGCGTCGCTTACACTTACCTATACAGACAGACGATGCGACCTTTCACTAGCGCATTTGAAAGAAAGAGATGGATTCTAAATCTGAGTATATATATTTATAGATGTATAAAAACTAAGTTTTCTGTTTTGATTGATCCTTTTAGATAACTTCTACCGATTAAAAATTTTATATATGTGTTGATATTTTTCGTGATTTTTAAAACTCGATTTATTACCAAACTCCTCCATTAGTATCTAGTAACATTGATAGTTAACTCGCATTTAAGTAAACATGTGTGCGTAGATTCGAAAATTAATTATTGGTGGTCAGTTGAGATGCCAGCGAGTGCGGCCGAAAGCTGACGACCCCCGGTGAAAGTGCCCTGCGGCCGCGGTCTCGCCTTTATGATTTTCATTTTGCCTCATTTCTTATTTATATTTGATCATCTTGAGCTTAATATCCTGTTATTTTTAGGTAATATTTTTGAAGTTATATGTATTTCTTTTGGCGCGTTATGAAAAATGATGAGATTGATTTTTTTACGATGCGACTAATTTAGACTACAGTATGAAGTTAGTCTTTATTGGTTACTGTGTGAAGTTAGTTGTTAAATCTCCCTTTAGTATAGTGTGAAGAAAAAGGCACACACGTTTGGTTCTCGTGACAATGCACGATTATCTAAATCATTTTTAATCCAATATGGCGGATGTTATAAAATGGCGATCCAGCATTTCCATAGTGGGCCTTATGTTATGGACATTAAATGATATGGCTTCATGAGCGATACATAATAAGCAAAGTGTTGTAAATACAATAAAATGCAATATGGTGAACTCCCAAAGATAGCGGACTGTTTTTTATGCACCCCCCTGATAAGGATATCAAATGAAAGGGTTTGCCGAGAAAAATACGAAAAAAGTTTAAACATTAAAAACGACAAACTCTTATAAATAAATGCTCCAAAAAATAATTAAGAAGTATAACTCCTTACGTGCGTACATACGTACATACACACTTTATTTAAATTACTAATATCAATGAAAAAAATGTGTGTGGAAGTTTGAAGAATTTTGATATAACTAAGTAATCCATACTAATATTATGAATGTGAAAGTAACTGTCTGTCTGTTACTTTTTTACACTTATCGACGGCTAGTCAGTCGCTAGTTTGTTATAAATGTATAGTTTGTGTTTCTGATGCAAGTACACTATAGATTTTTTGAAATTAAGTGTTTCAATTTTTGTTATCATAATGTATATATGATAACATAATATATTATATAAATGCAAATTAGAGCAACACATATTGAACAAGTAACACTGGAAATTGAGTAATAATTCCCCATTTGATGTTTGTCAAAAGTATTATGGCCATTAGTTTTCTCAAGGTGCTTTTCGTAACACTTTGCACAACATTGGTATTTATACTGATAACACACCATAAAATCCTACCTTTATTTTGTTCGCTCAAAATTTCTATTTAAATTTATTATTATGTGCTATGATTGATATTATAACATTGTAGACAGTGCGGCGCCTTACGCTAACCGGCTTTTGAATCGTTAGTGTCTTCTTTTGAATAACATTTTTAGTGTTTTTACTGTTACATATTTCCGTATAAGATTAATGAAATAAAAGATATTCGTTATTTTCTCAATGTCATACTATATTGAAATTTGTAGTTTTTAAGACAAAGAAAAAAGCCAAATCGTATTAATTTTTAATATTACTTGTATGCAATGCGCGTTTTAATCTGTCCTTCACAGATAAAACTTAACGTCAATTACGAGTATATCTTCCGGCGATGTGTCCTTATTTTTAAGTATCAACATATTATTATTTATTCTCATAATAATGACCAAATAGTAAAACATATATAATATAATAATACATTTTTTTTTCATATATAATCCCATAAATATTATAAATGCGAAAGTTTGGATGGATGGTGGATGTTTGTTAATCAATCATGCCAGAACGCTGAACGGGTCTGGTTGTTTGGCACAGAGATAGATTATAGTCTATCTGGAATAGCTCATAGGTTACTTTTTATCCCGGAAAAATGTACGGTTGCCGTGGGATAGATTTGTTTTTGTTTTTCACAGAGCAAGGGCTCGAATCTATTCCATACTAACCGTTAAAACGTACATAAGGCGAAGACGAAGCGAGGATGAGTCGCTAGTTATTAACAACTACTATTTGGAGCTAAAATATGTAACTAAAATATAAAATTTAATTCTCGTAAAAT